AGGACCGGGGTACATAAGTTATCAGGTCTGCCATGTTTGAGTTATCATGTTATTTGCACAGAAGTTACCGTGGTATGTTTCAACAACTCCCCTACCCCCACCCTCGACGACAAAGTTTTTAGGACCGGGGTACATAAGTTATCAGGTCTATGAAATTTGAGTTACCATGATATTCACACGAAAGTTAACGGAGGATATTTCATCACCCCCCGCTCCCGGCCACCAAAGTTACCAAGACCGGGGGTACATAAGTTATCAGGTCTGCAACGTGCGAGTTACCGTGTTATTAACATAAAAGTTACCGTGGGTATATTTCATCACTCCCCTAGCCAAAAGTTATCAGGACCGTGTCACAACACTTATCAGGTTTGCAATGTGTGAGTTACCATGCTATTTCCACAAAAGTTACCGGGGATATCTCGTTAACCCCCCGCCCCGCCAATACCGGGAAAAAAGTCCATTTTACTAGTGCCACATCAGCAGAGGGAGGAGAAAAACCAGCCAGGGGTGTTTTGACCGGTTTGGGTTTGTTTGGGGGTAAAAGAAGCCAAAAATAGATCCCACTTTATTCATGGCAGTAAAATGAACTTTTTTCATACCGGGGTACAATAAGTTATCAGATCTACGATGTGTGAGTTACCATGTTATTTCAATAAGCTTACGAGGTGGATATTTCATCAACTCCCCCCCTCCCAATCGCCAAAGTTACCAGGAGGTACATAAATTATCAGGTATGTGATGTGTGAGTTACCATGCTATATACACACACAAAATCGATTTCATCACCCCCCCTCCACCTCGCCAAAATTACCTCAGTGTCATCAACTTGAGACTAGTTGGTAAAAATAATCTACTTAAGTGCGGAAAAGATCAGACATTGCAGTAACTTTTGTGCAAACCTAGAAGAGGAGACATGTTAAATAGCATATTTACTTTCATTTGTTCAAGAAGAGGAAACGTACGTGAGGTGGTTGGCTAGTAGAGTTATCTCATAAGAGGTACAAGTGTAGATAAATCATCGGACTAGAAAAGAATAAGAAAACAAATGCCAAAATGGTAAAAAAAATAGTGTAAAAAAGGAAAAGAAAGAAAAAGGTTTATTTTTCACCTCGCGTTATAGACATGTACAAAAGATTACTGACCTACTTGTAAACACAAGCTAATTGTAGGCCAGTTGATTACCTACCTTAGTTATATACCAGGAGGTGTGGGGATCGACTCCTGCTTCCTCCAAATTTTTATTTTACCGTGCCAGAAAAATGCGGGAAGTTGATCGAGAGGAAAAAGCAGAAAAACGGAAACTTCTCGCGGGAGAATTGGATCGAGAGGAAAACGGGAAATGGCGAATCGTGCGGATCTATTCTTAACGTCCAATCGACTGTAATTTAGCTTTCTCGATTAATTAATTAGATACTCCCTTCGTTCACAAATATAATATGTCCTAATTATTTTTTTCTAAATTAGATGT